AAAACATTTTGGGAAAGGGTCCATAGGTTGCTCTAGGTGTTACACACACACACACACACACACGCACACACACACACACACACACACACACACAAAGACAGAGAAAGAGAGAACTTCTGCTCTAGGTAGGAGTGTGGGAATGTGAAAGGTAGAAATTGTTATTCAAATTCCTTTCTCATTCTACCTCACTCCCTCTCTCTGCAATCCCATCTCTGTAAATCCCCCTCTACTGAAAGCAAATTTGTAATGCTTTTCAGCCTGTCTCCCCTAGGAGGGATTTTTCCCCCTCTTTCTGTGAAAGTCTGAAAACAAATGTTCCCTTAATGACTTGGCTGCCTGGGCAGTCTCTGTCAGTAGTTTCTATGCCCTTCTCCCTTTAAAGACAAGCTCTATTCTTCTGTTCAAGTCAAGGAATGCCCTTTCTGCTTGGATTTGAAATCACCATGTGCATGGTGTAGAGGGGCAATGTCTCAGTGTCCTTAACTAGATAAATGCTTTCACATTTGGCACAGACTGTGTCTACATCAGTACTGACCTTAAACGAAATATGAAGCAGGCAATTTGTCTCTTCTATCTACAGTATTCCATTTTTCCCCTTTCCACAGATCTGCCTAGATCCAGTTCTCTCTTTCTGCCCTCTGGAGGCCCAGGGAGCCCCACTGAGGACTTCCTGGCCTTCACCGTTCCCTGAGTTTCAGACCTTTTATGATCTGCTTCTTCAATTAAAAATACTCCTTTCCTTCATTCAGTTGGGGAAATGATAAAGTAATTTTTAATTATGGGTTTAATGTTTTTACAATGCCTGAGATCAAATTAGTAGCTCCAATGGTAGGAATTTCAGGCATATACTAAGACAGTGACAAATTAATGTGGAATAGAGGAGACAATGTGAGACATAGAGTTAGAAACACCTGAGTTCAAATCCAGCCTCTGACAATTACTAGCTAAGTGATCATGTTCAAGTCCCTTCACCTCTCAGAGGCAGTTAGGTAGCACTGTGGATAGACCACCTGGAGTCAGGAAGAGTTGAGTTCAAATCTAATCTCAGACACGTGATTTTAGGCAAGTCACTTCAAATGGACCTGCCTCAGCTTTCTCATTTGTAAATAAAGACAATGGTAGTGCCTACTTCTCAGCATTGTTGTAAGGATAAAATGTGGTAACATTGTAACGTGCTTTAAAAACCTTAAAACGCTTTGTAAAGTCTAGCTATTATTCTTATTTTCTGAGCCCCACACAACTTTCTAAGACTTAGCTACTAAGTTTTAGATGGATTTCAATCTTAAGAGTAGAGGAAGTTCCCATATCAAGGAAATCACAGTTCCTTGACTTATTGTCATCCTAAGACAGTGAGATAATTTTTTTCTGAGAAGAACAACTTTTGACTCCTCTATAAATATTATCCTGGATGGAGGTGACCATCCATTCTGCCTTTGAACAGAGAGAGCTCTGGCTTACACCTACAGTCCTATAAGATTCTTTTTTGACTCAACTTCCTCTCTCCCCAGTTAGTCAATTCACATTAAATTTTTTACCATTTTTCTAAAACCATTGTTTCTGGAGGACAGGGTTCATGTCTTATATCTCCCAATGCCTAGCATGTGCTATGCCTTATCCAGTCAATTCATTCAGAACAACCAAATCAGTTATGCATATGGATACGTCTTTTTCTCTTCTTTGGGGAGATGATCACTAATACTTTGATACTTAGATCTCATGATACTGAGATAAATAAGACCTAATCTCATCAACTTGGCTTTTCCCTTCAATGGGGTGTGTGTGTGTGTGTGTGTGTGTGTGTGTGTGTGTGTGTGTGTGTG